TGGGAAGGTGGCTCAGTGGTAGAGCGCTTGCCTTGCATGCATGAGGCCCTGGGTTCAATTCCTCAGCACCACATAAGCAAAAAGAAAAAAGCCGGAAATAGCACAGTGGCTCAAGTGGTAGAGTGTTAGCCTTGAGCTGAAGAGCTGAGGGACAGCGCCCAGGCCCAGAGTTCAGGCCGATGACTGGACCCCCCCCCAAAACAAACAAACAAACATATAAGCCCGAAGCCAAATCCAGCCCCCCTCTCATAACCTCCATACCAATGGGAAGGTCTGTGCCCCTTGCTGGCAATGAACAGTCCTAGCCTGTTGAGAATCTTGTCTAGTACATTCCTTTTCTGTTCTCTATTTTCCTAACAATGATGAGGATGTATCCTAGTGCTTGAGTGCTTGCACTCAAGCAGCCTCATTTACTGAGTGATTTTTTTTTTAGCATCTTATACCACAATGCAGCCAAAGATGGAGGAGTGGCAGATCATAACGGTTAAACACTTGTATAGTGTGTCCAGAGTCCTGGGTTCCATATTCAACACCCAAATAAAAACAAGTGTTGTTAGGAAAAAATTATCCTTTTTTTTATTATTTCCAAGTGTCTCACTTTGAAGGGTTGAAGGTGTGGCTCAGCTAGTAGAGGGTCAGGTCAGGTAATGAAGGCATCAGGTACTGAGTTTGATTCTGGGTCTCAGACAAAAGAGTCTCATGTTGAAAGATTTGGAAATTGATTTAGGCTTGAGAAAGCATATCTAAACACTGGAACATTTCCAGAATTAGTGCTTTTGAGTAATAACATAGTTAACTTTTCCAGGTACTGAAGAGTTAAACACAAAAGCTACTGAATTAGGGGGAAAAAAACCTTCAATAACTGCTCTACATTGATTAGGACTGAAACCACACACACACACACACACACACACACCACACACCACACACACACGAATATTAGTTTCTGTTTACTAGTAACGAATCCGTCTCTTTTACAGGTCAAATTCTAAAGTCTCGGAGTCAGCTTGCTGATTAAGTTCCTGCCCTGTGTCCCTGTTTACAAAAATCTGTTGTTTCCCCAATGCTGTACTGTTTTTCTGGTGTGACATGCAAATTCCTTTCTTAGGAGACTTGCACCCCAATTCTCATCTTCTCAGAACGGACTCACCCCCAATTCCTACAGTCCATGCAGTGTGACCCATGTAACTGCCCCCTAAACTTTTAAATTTCGCCCACTGTTGTCTACTGCTCCTGCGTCCATTCTCACTTGAAGCAGCCTGGCAGATGTCTGCCCAATAAAGAAAAGCTTTGAACCCATGTTAGTCACTGGCCTCTCATTTCTTACACAAATCACTGTGGAAAATCTTTTAATGACTCAGAAGAAACAGAAAACACATTTCATTTGTATGTATGTAAGATTCATACATGTAAGATGCAGTCATTCAGGCAGAAAACAATTAGGGATAACTGAACTGCTGGCCCACACGAGAGGGGAGATAGGGAGAGGGTGAAGAGGTGTGGCCAATGACTTCAGTGAAGGGTGGGAAGGAGTTGCGTCCACAGGGATGACCTCAGAGCCTGAGGGAAGGGTCATATGTGCCCAAGAGGCACATTTTCTGTAGTGAAAATGGGACCTACATTTTAACTGATTTCCTTATTCTATACTTACTGTACTGAGTTTCACTAAAGTGTTTTCATATATGCATATAACGTAAAATTAGGCTTTTAAAATATTTAGATATATTTTGTGGTCTTGTTGGGAACTCAACCAATTGAACCTACCTTTTCAATTTGTGAGCAACTAAAGATTCTGTTTATCTTCTGTACCCTGAAATTTTGGAGCAAGAAATTTCATATTTGGGCCAAGCGTCAGTGGCTCACGTCTGTGATTTTAGCAATTTAGGAAGCTGAGATTGATAAGATTTTGATTTTAAGCTAGCTTGTGCAGCAGAGTCCACAAATCTCCTTGTTAAAGGAAGATGACCATGGTGGCATTTGTCTCATCCAAGTATTCTGCCTGAAATAGCCCAGGCCCATCAGAGGAAGTGAAACCCTCAGAAATATTTAGAGCTGGGCTACTATGGCTCACACCTGCAATCCTAGCTACTCAGGAAGCTGAGATCTAAGGATCTTCATTTAAAACCAGTTGAATAGACGAATCTTCAACTCTTTTTGTTGTTGGGCTTGAACTCTGGGTCTGGGCACTGTCCCTTAACTCTCTTCAGCTCAAGGATAGCGCTCTACCACTTGAGCCACAGCACCACTTCCAGTTTTCTGGTGGTTAACGGGAGATGAATCTCACAGACTTTACTGCCTGGGCTGCCTTGAAACACCATCCATAGCTAAATCTTCAACTCTATCTTCTGTCAACTGGCAAAAATCTGGAATGAACATATGGCTCAAATAACACCTCAGCTTTCATTATGAGAGGCTTTCAGTATTGGTACAAATGTAAAAAATTCAAAGGTCTTTATCCTGTATTTTGTTTTCTACCCCTTCTATTCTAGACTAAACCTCAACCTCACTAGGCAATTAATTGCTCTACCACTGGTATCCTTCTTTGTTTCTGTGAAATGTTAAGTAGCTTGCATTTTAAGTGTTTCATTGGCCCGTTGCTGTGAATGCTAAACCTTGCCTGCACTGGCATGTTCCCATTCTGAACTTTTTTACAGCATAGTATAGGTATAGAGTAGAACTTTAGGGCTGGGAAGGTGGCTCAGTGGTAGAGTGCTTGCCTTGCATGCTGAAGGCCCTGGGTTCGATTCCTCAGCACCACATAAGCAAAAAGCCAGAAGTGGCGCTGTGGCTCAAGTGGTAGAGCGCTAGCCTTGAGCTGAAGAGCTATGGGACAGCGCCCAGGCCCAGAGTTCAGGCCCCACAACCGGACCCCCCCCCCAAAAAAAAAGAGTAGAACTTTACAAAGTAGCACCTGATCTGTGTTCTGTGCCAAATTGTACTGATTTAACAATCAAGGTAGAATTGACTTAGGGGGACAGAGCATACATTAAGTAGAGTATGTACCTGAACTGAAGCAAATGACTACCTGGTCCTAAGCCTTTTGGCAACTTAAGGAAAAAAATGTTATTTAAATGTCTAAGTAGCATTGTTAGCTAACAATTGTTAGCTAACATTTTTAGCTAACAATTGTTAGCTAACATTTTGCCAGCAAAAAAAAAAAAAAAAAAGGCTTTACGGGTACGGTGAGGATTTTATTTGGTTCAGAAAGTCATTGTTATCCTTGCTGATTTTTACTTGTAAGCGCATAGGTGGGCTTTAGGTCCAGCTGGGTTAGAATAAAATAGCTTCATGAAAATATATGACTTTATATTATATCCCTAGTGGATGTACCATAGAACTTATTGGCGCATCTGTGAGAAGCTCAAAATGCAACAGTCCTGATAGCACACAACTTGCCCATTTCCCCAACCATTACATTTCCTCTGCTCAAAGGTCTTGTGTTTGTTAACTGACTTCCTTCAACTTTCACATTTTCAGCCCAGACTCTTAAAAGAAACTGCAAATTTCCCATTTGGCATTTTTTTTTTTGGTTGTGGCATTTGAACTCTGGGTCTGGGCGTCGTCCCTGTACTCTTCAGCTCAAGGCTAGTGCTCTGCCACTTGAGCCACAGCGCCACTACTAGCTTCCTGGTGGTTCACTGGAGATAGTCTCAGCCGGGCCCTGGTGGCTCACGCCTGTAATCCTAGCTACTCAGGAGGCTGAGATCTGAGGAATGCGGTTCAAAGCCAGCCCGGGCAGGAAAGACTGTGAGACTCCTATCTCCAATAAACCACCAGAAAACCAGAAGTGGCACTATAGCTCAAATGGTAGAGCGCTCGCCTTGGGCTGAAGAGCTGAGGGACAGCGCCCAGGCCCAGAGTTCAAGCCCCACGATCGACAAAAAAAAAAGTCTCACAGGTTTTCCTGCCTGGGCTGGCTGTGAACCATGATCCTCATATCTCAGCTACATCTGAGTAGCCAGCATTACAGGTATGAGCCACCTGTGTCTAGCTCTATTTAGCTTTCTTCATATCCCTGTTTTCTTGCTAAACAACATGATTCTGAGGACAAATTTTACTTAAAATCCTTTTAAAATATGTATTTGGCTATTTTTAACCTACTGCTCCTGAATTTTCCCCAGAAAGCTATGAAACCAGATAAAGCCACCAGTACAGGATTGAGTTCAGTTGAACTCCTAGCCCGCTTAGCTAAGAAATGCACACACTTAGTATATACCTTTGATGTATGGGGGTCTTAAGACAAAAGAGACAGACACAGTTGAATTTATTGAGAAAACTTAGTTTTAAGGATGTGAGCTTTACAGAGCAGAGTGCTTATCTAGCATGTGCTAGGATGTGAGTTCCATTCTTAGTAGTGGGGTGAAGAGAAAATGTACAAACACTTCTGAACAACTTAAAATCTGGAGGGGTATGGCGGCATACACCTCCAATCCTGGCTACCTGAAGATGAAGACAAGATTGTGAATTCAAGGGTAGCCTGGGCAAAGTGAGGGAGACTACCTCAAAAACAGAACAGAGGGTTAGCTCAAGTGATAGATTGTGCCGAACATCATGAGGCCTTGGGTCCAATCACTAGCATTATAAACATAAAAAAATAATACAATTAGAAACTTTTATATTTTCCCATGATTTATGCTTGACAATGTCTTTGAGAAGCATATATATATGCATATGTGTGTATATATATACACACACATACACACATACATATATACATATATATATTTTTAAAAAACCAGGCCCACTTTCACCTCCTTCAGTCTGTGCACCAACCTCACTCACACCCAGGTTCTGCTTCAGAAACACTCTGTAGCCAGCCAGGTGTTGATAGCTCAGGCCTATAATCCTAGTTACTAAGGAGGCTGAGATCTTTGGATCGCTTGATAAATATTTAGTAAGAGGATGTCAATGTGAGGCAGCAGCGTTTTCATTCGCAAGGCACTGTGTTCCAACGGATGCAGCAGAAGGCTTAGCTGGGACCCAAGGCCAGCATTTCCTAATCACTGTCAAAAAAAGGCACAGGAGCTGCCCATACAGCAAAGACTTCACAATAGTCCCTCATTAGCCTCACAATGTCTTGGATCACTTGCTGGGTCTTTTGACCTTGTTCTCTTCTGAAAAGATAACCAGCAACTGGGCATTATAAAGGTGTCTCCCCCTTGGTGGGTGTCAGTCACCTGGTCACTCCTTGAAATTTCAAGGCCATCAAATTCAACTTCATTCCAACAGGAGGCCTCCTCACCCTCTTGCTGTAAGCACCTGAATTTAACAAAAGTCCCAAGGGCTAGTAGAAAATTTCAAGTTAAAAAGTCTTCTTTAATTGTCTTAAATAGTCCTATATATGCCATTCCACATGGTGGAAAAATTGAAATATGCAGTCTGGATTCAATGCTGAAACTTCTGATTACAAATAATGACATCTAGATTTTACTTATGTTAGAGCTACCATATTGCACCTTACAGACTATAACACATGACGGAAAAGGCTTGCAGGTGAAAATTTACATTTGAAACTTTTAGATGTGCCAGAATTCCAAACTGCATTAAAGAGAGTATTTAGGAATTCATCTGAAAAGAGTTCATCATGATCCTGGGGTCACTGCAGCTGCACTCTGTATGCACCTATCAGCAACTTAACCTGGGGAAGGAAAAAGGCACGTCAGTACACAACTGTAAACTCTCCTCTCACAAGAACATGGTCAGCATTTGTCTTGAATGGGACAGTATTTTAAACCTGGTTATCAACTTAATAAGTTATTGATATTTTCATAAAAAGTTGAAGTATAATGTGGTTTCATTAGAATATTATATATTATATATCAGAGCAACTACTTTAACTAGCTTCCTTTCACATGGAATGGTTAGTGACAGCATAGACAGACAGGGGCATTCAGTACCAATGCCTAAAAAAAGACTCAGACTGTTCAACAGGGGGCTTCCTCCTCTCATTCACTCAGTCTACTCCCTCCCTCCACATGGTTTGCTTTGCTGCTCACCTCTTAAAACTCATCAGTTCACCAGCATTACTGTCCTAAGGAGTACTGTCCCCACAACTGACATTTCTGAAGCCAAAGTAACCTGCTGAAATATTTTTCTAATGACAACATAATTAGTAGCAATGATACTCACCTTAGTAAAGGGTGCTTCTGTCAATCTTATAAAGAGTTTATTAGGACCTGCAATGGGGCTGAATGAGTAAACAAAATGACTATCCTGGAAAAGAGACAAGAAAGTAAGGTTAGCTTTTTGCTGCTAAACTCAACATCTCTGTAGTCTAGGTTGAGTGTGGAATTTGCTATGTATCTCAGGCTACAGACTCAAACTCCCAGTCCTCCTGCGTCAGGCTCCCAAGTGATGGCACTGCAGGCATGTACCACCATAACTGGTCAATACACGTGATATGTTTTGTTTTCCCTTGATTTATTAAAATGATAAAGAGAAAAATACCCAGACAAGTATTTCAAGTTGAAGTATATGAAGTATGAAGTATATGAAGTATGAACTACATACCCAAGTACAAATTTAAAAAATGATTTTAGCCGGGTGCCGGTGGCTCACACCTATAATCCTTGCTACTCAGAAGGCTGAGATCTGAGGATCACAATTCAAAGCCAGCTCGGGCTTAGAAAAGTCTGTGAGACTCTTATCTCCAATAAACCACTAGAAAACCAGAAGTGGTGCTGTGGCTCAAGAGGCAGAGCACTCACTTTGAGCTGAAGAGCACAGGGACAGTACCCAAGCCCCATGACAAAAAAAAAAAAAAGGATTGTACTCAAGTAATAATGCCTTGTTGTGCCCAAGGGAAGAATTCTAAAAGTGGTGAAAGAATTATGTATAAAAATTTGTGGAGGGGCTAGGAAGGTGGCTCAGTGGTAGAGCGCTTGCCTTGCATGCTTGAGGCCCTGGGTTGATTCCTCAGCACCCGTAAGCAAAAAAAAAAAAAAAAAAAAGCCAGAAGTGGCACTGCAGCTCAAGTGGCAGAGTGCTGGCCTTGAGCTGAAGAGCTGAGGGGCAGCGCCCAGGCCCAGAGTTCAGGCCCACGACCAGATCCCCCCCCCAAAAAAATTTGTGGAAATGCAGTGGTCTTTAAAACCCAAATTTGATTAATACGCAAAAAAAACCCAAAAACCCAAACCACATAACAGCATATATATCTTGAATTTTATAAATGTTAAGATTCCTTTATGGCCAGTCAGCACTAGATGTATTTTGATACAAAAGAGACTAAGTTGCATTAAAAAATGTGTTTCTTGTTGTTTTTAATTTTTCAGAAATCAAAAAATGGTGGAGAGCATCTCTTTGTGATGTCAGAAATGAGCACAGAATGAGCATAAATAGCCAGGCATGATGGATGCCTGTAAGCTCAACATGCAGTAGGCTGAAACTCTCAAAAAGCAAAAGCTGGGTACTGCTGGCTCACGCCTATAATCCTAGCTACGGGTCACGGTTCAAAGCCAGCCCGGGAAAGGAGTCCATGAGATTCTTATCTCAAGTAAATCATCAGAAAACTGGCAGTGGCGCTATGGCTCAAGTGGTAAAGGGCTAGCCTTGAGCTGAAGAGCTGAGGGTCAGTGCCCACGCCCAGTTCAAGCCCCATGACCAAAAAAAAAAAAAAAAGTGTTTAAGATATAGCTCTACACTTGTTTTCTAAGTGTGAGGCCCTGAGTTTAAACCCGTTACATACATATATACCAACAAACAAAAACAAAATAAACAACATAAATACAAGCAGTGAAAATATTAGTTGCAGGACTGGAGACATGGCTCAACTGGTCAAGTGCCAGCTGAGCAAGCTAGTTCAGCAAGCATGACATGCCTGTCAATAAACACATTGACAAATTCAGAATAACTGTGCTCTGATTATAGGTACTATCTCATTGCCAACAACTGGACCACTTACTAGTAATCATATTTACACCTAACTGATCATGTAGACTTCCATTCAAATTTTCAATTTTGAACAACAATTCTTACCAGAAAAACAGGAAGTTGAAATATATTATTTAAAACTACTGCTTGTACACTGCATGGGCCACAGAGCCGAGCAATAACTTCTTTACCCAAAAAATTCGCATGGAAAATAAAGAGCAGGATGCCAGAGCCTGAAGGAGGAAGAAAGGAAGTAGTTCACACACAGGCATTATCAGCCCCTGAGGGGAAGGGCACTTCTGAAACCTGGGTCAGCCCATGCGAGAGCGAACTTACCACTTGTGCCCAACCTTCCAAAATCCGCTGATGTTACCTTGTAGTTTCTATCCCACAGAACTCAGTTTTTTAAATTTTTTTTTTTGGGGGGGTGGTCCGGTCATGGGGCCTGAACTCTGGGCCTGGGCGCTGTCCCTCAGCTCTTCAGCTCAAGGCTAGTGCTCTACCACTTGAGCCACAGCGCCACTTCCGGCTTTTTTCTTTTTGGTTATGTGGTGCTGAGAAATCAAACCCAGGGTCTCAGGCATGCAAGGCAAGCACTCTACCACTGAGCCACCTTCCCAGCTCCAGAACTCAGTTTTTTTGTCCATGTAACTCCTACCAATTGCTCTTGGAAAGACTTAAACATGATTGTGTGGACTGAGGTAAATAGTCAGTCAGAAAAGAGAGCATTATTTAAAAGTTGAAGCTAACTGGGCATTAATAGCTCACACCTATAATCCTCACTACTCAGGAGACTGAGATCTGAGAATTGCTGTTTGAAGCTAGCTCAGGTAGGAGTCTGTGGAACTCTTAATTCCAATAAATTTCCAGAAAGTAGTGGTGGTTTGGTTCAAATGACAGAGAACTATCCTTAAGTAAAAATCTCAGGGACACTCCCCCACGGTATAAGCCCTGCTTTCACTGTATTTGATACAGGTGGACCCATTGCAACAATGAGATGTACAAGATGTTATGTCGAAAAACAAACTTTACAACTTTGGCCAGGGGACGGGGGTGGGGGGTGTAATGGGGGAGATGGGAGGGGACGGGAAGGGGAAACAAAGGAGGAGGCAACAATGCTTGATAAGAAATGTACTTATTACCTTGCCCATGTAATTGTAACCCCTCTGTACAGTATTTTCACAATTAAAAAAAAAACAAAAACCCTCAGGGACAAGGCCCAGGCCTTAAGTCTAAACCCCAGGACTGGCACACACAAAAGTTGAAGCTAAAAGTATTCACTCATCTACACCCTGAGACTGAAGCCCACAGAAACATGAAGGTGGTATTATTACATGCGTGTATATGTGCTTTTCCATTTTCTGCCACATACTGGTTCGCATCTATTTTTTTTTCTTAGTACAAAAAGAAATCTTACTGAAAAATGTTAACATGCAATGTGATGCTATATCAAACTATTATTTAATGTATTTTTATGCTAGTAGTAGGGGCTTACACTCAAGGCCTTGTGCTCTCACTGGCCTTTTCTGCTTAAGGATGGCATGTTGCCATACGGCATGAGCTATAACCCCACTTCTGGCTTTTTGGTGGTTAATGGGAGATAAGTATCTCATGGACTTTGCTACCTGGGCTGGCTGTGAACCTTGATCCTCAGATCTCAACCTCTTTAGTATCTAGGATTACAAGTCATAAGACATCACTGCCCAGATCAAAATACCACTTTATTTAATACCCAAAACTGCAAAAGCTAAATACTGGAAGATAACTTAGATCTAGTAAACTAAAAACTAACTTTTTTTTTTTGGTTGTGGGGCTTGAACTCTGGGCCTGGGCGCTGTCCCTCAGCTCTTCAGCTCAAGGCAAGTGCTCTACCACTTGAGCTACAGTGCCACTTCTGGTGTCCTGATGATTAACTGGAGATAAGAGTCTCACGGACTTTCCTACCTAGGCTGGCTTTGAAATGTGATCATCAGATTGCAGCCTCCAGAATAGTTAGGAGTACAGGCTTGAGCCACTGGCACCCAGCTAAAAACCAATTTTAATGTGACAAAATGTCATTGATACAGGCCAGTCAACAATAAGAGGACACTCTAGAAGAGACCCAAAAGAAAAGCATCCACGACCTTGACTCTTTCCCTTTCCCTTCCCCTCTCCCTTCAGGCTATTAGAAGTATAATACAGAGTTTGCTTTTTGGCTTCATAATGCAGCTCCCCTTGCCTAGAGCACCACTAAGAATATTAGGACAGTGTTCACTCTCTTCAGCTCTTCTAAGTAGGAGGCAGCCATGGATGTAAGGCTGGAGGTCTGAGGACCTGGTTACTATCATGCAGGGAGAGACAGCCATGTGAATACTGCTGGCTTTTTTTTAGAGGGCAGACTATTAGTAGGCTTAGAATCTTGAAAGTATGTTTTAATAAAACTCAATAAAATCAGTATTATTAGGACTCAATTCCCCTACAATTTATACAGAGGGAATAAATAGTACTTCGTGGCATCACCTGGAATCCTGGGAATCGGTCTCTATTTTGTCAGAGTTACTGTGCTATTAATTATCTTACCTAATTTTTACACATTTGCTTAAGATTTTATTTAAAGACAGGCTTCTAATAATTAACATTCATAGTGTACACTTCAACAGAATCAGGCTAAGCATAGGTTTACCTTCTGGTATATTCTGTGGGGGGTTGTAATTGAAATCTGTTGAGAAATCTGGCCCCTCACAGAGGCGATGACATGCTATTGGGAAAACAGGTTCCAACAGAGCAAGGCGAGCTTCAAAGTAATCTTTGATTGTCTCTTCAGCCACTCTGGAGAGCCTGGGAAGAGAGGACAGAAGATCATTAAAATTAATGTGCATATATTAAAATGAATACAAGTATTATACCTTAATAGAAAGCTTTCTAAAACAACTTGAGGGAAATGCTAACTACCCTGATTTCATCATTAAACACAATTATACATACATCAAATTAATGTACTATTTCTCATTTATTTATATAATTTAAAATTTCAATGCACAAATGGAGAAAAAAAAGACATAATTTACAATACTGTCCAATGCTAGACCTGCCCTGTTCTGAAATAGAACTACAATTTTGCCTCACCCTAATTTTTTTTTTTTGGGCCGGTCATGGGGCTTGAACTCTGGGCTTGGGCTCTGTCCCTGCGCTCTTCAGCTCAAGGCGAGCGCTCTACAGCTCACAGCGCCACTTCCAGTTTTCGAGTGGTTTATTGGAGATAAGAGTCTCACGGACTTTCTTGCCTGGGCTAGCTTTGAACTGCGATCCTCAGATCTCAGCCTCCTGAGTAGCTAGGATTTCAGGCGTGAGCCACCAGCGCCGGCTACACCCTAATTTCTTGTGCCACATTAAGATGTCTTCTGTTTCACTAGCTCCTGTTTTTTTATTTTTTTGAGACAATGTATCTCCTTGACACCAAGGCCAATCTTGAACTTGGTTCTCTTAGTCTCCCACCTGCTGGGATCACAAGTCTTCTGCCCACTGGTGGTTAGAGCAGCATCTGGTGCAGGGCTGTGCTCAATACATGTTTGTCTACTGAACCATAAGAAATGAGAATCCCCCAGTCCTGGGCAAACAGGATGGCTAGCTGTTCCACTGGCTGGCTCTGGAGCTACCCCACGTGGGTAGAGAAGCGACAGCCGGCTTCTCTGCATTGCTTGGAAGGCCCCTGGCACAGGCTATCAGGAGGGCAGATTAGGTATGTGCCATCCATGGGACACTTTCTACCTTCTGCTTCTGGTTCCTCTACCTGCAACTGAAGTGACCATATTGTGTGCAAAATTAAATGATAGAACACCAGGCTTCCCTGACACGGTGCTCACTGCTCCGGTGCTTTTCTGCTTCTGATACTTCTCCCCCAGGCTCTCCAGGCTCGCTGTCCTCATCTTTCCAGAGCAGTCTTCTTTAGTTTTAGGCTGGATCTCTAGCCCAGAGCTCTGTCCTTAAGGAACCAAGGACTTTGAGGCGCACTCTGCCTCCTGCTGGTACCTGTGTTCTCTGCACCTCATAACTCAGGCCGACCAGGCAACACTGCTGTTCTCATGTTCTGTGAATCCTATGTCCTCAAAGGTTGGTGACCTTCTCATTTTTGCCCCTCTATACCACTTGAGTACAAATTACTACTACATCATTTACTTCTAGGGCTCTCCTTACAAGTCTGCACAGTTCCTGTCTTTTACTCAATCCATGCTTCCTACTGCGGCAAAAAACAGTAAGTGATCCCTTTAAGTCTGGATCTCTGTCTTGCACTTTCATCTTCCAGTGGCTCCCAACTGTCCTCAGTCTCCTCTCAGCCCTGTAGCAAGGTGTAGGAAGTGCCTGCGCCCCAACCCTCCCACACTTTCTCCTCTAACTGCTGTCCAGATGCATGCAGTGACCACTGCGTCTCCCTCAAAGACAGTGGGCAGAGATGAACACCAGTGCTCTGCATGTAAGTCAGTAATAGATACTAAAGCAATACTAAAAGATACCTAAAGACCTAACCAATTGAACAATTTCACAAACTACAAATGGTGGGGGAAACCCCAAAACTACAAAGCAGGTAAGTTCTACATTGTAAGTGTGGCCAGAGGCCAGAAAAACCCTGCTGAGAAGAGCAGGGTTCAAAACAAAGCAGTGCTGGGCCTGCTGCACAGTTCCGGGCCACCCTGCTCACACCAGATACAGCCTGGAGCGAGGAGATGGAGACAGATCCCTGTGTGGACCATGGTTTATGTGAAGCTGTATCTCAGAGAGGGACCTTCCATGTCCTGCAGCACTTCAGGGCCAGGAAGCTGGAATTGCCACAAAGGAATATGCCAGAGTGGGCTGCCCTGCAGTACAAGGAACACTTGCTTGGGTGCAAGTAGCAAGAGGCTTCACTAACCTTCACCATGACACATTTGCAAGCCACAGTGCCACACAAGACATACTCACCAATACAAAACAGTGATGACCGTAGGAAAGACGCCATGCTTTCCTACTCTCAGGCCTGGGCAGCCATGAGCACTGATATACAGCTCCTCCTTCATGGACGCAGCCTGGTTGGCTGTAACTCCCACTGGACAAACTCATAAAGGCAGTGAGCTGAGTGTGGTGCTGGCCACTGACACCTATTTCTTTATTGGGGGGGGGTTGTGGGGCCTGAACTCTGGGCCTGGATGCTGTCCCTCAGCTCTTCAGCTCAAGGCTAGCGCTCTACTACTTGTAGCGCCACTTCCAGCTTTTTCTGCTTGTGTGGTGCTGAGGAATTGAACTCAGGGCCTCATGCATGCAAGGCAAACACTCTACCACTGAGCCACCTTCCCAGTCCCTGACACCTGTTTCTTAACTGCCACTGAACATGCCAGTAGGCCAATAGCTTTTGAGAAAGGTCAAAGACAGGTTGGTCTTGGCTGACTTTTTTTTTTATTGCCGGGTCTGGGTGCTATCTCTGAGAGTTTTTGCTCAATGCTAGTACTCTACCAATTAAGCCACAGCTCCACTTCTGGCTTTATGGTAGTTACTTGTAGATAAGAATATCAATGACTTTCCTACCAAGGCGGTTTTGAACTGCTATCCTCAGATCTCAGCTTCCTGAGTAGGTAAGATTACAGGTGTGAGCCACCAGCACCAGATGCCTTGAGTCACTCTGCTCAGTTTATAAACCCTCCTCCTCTTGCCTTGGAATTTGGGGATCTACCTCTCTCGTTAGCATTTAAGACATGCTCCTGTCCTTATGCAATCTGTACAATCTGAATTTGTCTGCCTCTTTTCTTCAACACCTTCCACTTCTGGCAAGAGAGTTGGTACATACTGAGACTATAGTTTTCCCCCTAAAAATGCAATTCTTTCTTGACACTGTCCTGCTAGCATGACTTGTTTTAGGACACAGGCTGGCACCTGCTATATCCCATCCCAAGTCTTGCAATAGGTTCATAAGGCGGAGCTCAGGGGCACAGCTCTGTGGCACTGACATACACTAACTGATGTTCTGCTGGTCTACCTTGACCCACCCATGAGCAGTGGACTCTGACACCTGGCTTTCCTCAGGAAATCCCAGGGTCCGATATTGGTAGGCACCAACTGAAACAGTTGCTGAGACTAAAGAACTTACCTTCATAAGTGCAGTCTCGCCATTGCTCTGCTGAACATTTACAAAGGCTCCCGCTTCCAAAAGAATAGCCACAGTGGTTAAAAAGTTCTATTTACAAAAGGAAAATAGGAAATTTTTAGAATTCTTTTGTCGGTCATAGGGCCTGAACTCTGGGCCTGGGTGCTGTCCCTCAGCTCTTCAGCTCCAGGCTAGCACTCTACCACCTGAGGCACAGCGCCACTTCCAGCCTTTTCTGCTTATGTGGTGCTGCAGAATGGAACCCAGGGCCTCATGCATGCAAGGCAAGCACTCTACCACTGAGCCACCTTCCCGGCCCTTAGAATTCTTTAAGGCATCTTTTTTGAAATGTCATTAGGAAAAAGACTCAGCAGATAATACCCCAAATGGGTGATGGGCCACCATGTTACTGTTTCTTCAATGGAGGGTTATTGGAAGCCCATGTGCTAAGCCAAGCTCTTTGGTCACTGGCCATGCAGCCACATGCTGCTCTACCTAGCATTGGTCACCTACACCTATAAAGAGTAGTCAGGGCCTGGTGTTCATACTTGGCCTTTTTTGCTCAAGGCTGGTGCCACTTGAGCCATACCTCTACTTCAGCATGGCTTTTTGCTAGTTATTTGGAGATAAGAGTGTCTCAGACTTTCCTGCCCAGATTGTCTTCAAACCTTGATCCTCTTATCTCTCAGTCTCCTGAGTAGCGGGAATTACAGGTGTGAGCCACCAGTCCCCAGCTCAAAAGAAATTCTTAATTTCAGTTGTAAAAGTTTCAAATTGCCTGTCGCCTAAGACTGAAAGCAATATTGATACATTGAAGATATATAAATTATTCCCAACTAGGTAAGTCACATTTTGAAATTATGATTACAAAATATTTCTGATAAGAAAATCCATTCATGTGAAATATAAAAGTGCAAAGATATATGACCATATGATCACTACGGTTTACTACTGAAACAAATCCTGAATGTCCTGATACAGTGACGTCTTGGACCTTTTCGGCGGCGTGGATGAGGGCTGTGGTGCCATTCTTCTGCTGTCCGTTTACTTTGGCCCCTTTAGTGATGAGGAGCCTCAGGAGGTCATCCTGTCCTCCTGCTGCAGCAAGCATCACCAGTGTCATCCCACTGGAATCCTGTGTCAGTTTATTAACAAAGAAGCTGGTTAGAAACAAGTCTTTAGACAGAACTGACTTCAGCATCTACTAAGAAAACATCCTAATAAACAGAAGGGCACCAGTGGCTCACGCCTATAATCCTAGCTACTCAGGAAGCTGAGATCTGTGGATCAAGGTTAGGAGTCAGCCCAGGGAGACAAATCTATTGAGACTCTATCTCCAATAACCAGAAAAAAAGGAGAGAAAGAGAGATAGATAGATAGAGAGAGAGAGAGAGAGAGAGAGAGAGAGAGAAAGGAAAAGAAAAAGCTGGAAATGGAGGTATGTCTCAAATGGTAATAAGAGCAGGAAGCCAAGTTCAAGGCCCAGTGTATAAATTACACATGCGTGCGCACACAAACACACACAAAAACTAACATCATTTAATAATTTTTTTCTCACGAACGTTTTCATAAAAATTTACAAATTTCTTATCTTAAATTCTAATAATGGCTTGAGGCCAGATGGGACAGGAAAACTCATTAGAGTCCATCCCTAAAATAACCAGTAAAAAAAATGGCTGGAGAGTAGCAAAGAACCCAAGAACCAGCCTAGCAGGCATTAGGCACTGAGTTAGAATCTAGTACCATCAAACAAAACAAAAACCCAAAACCATATCAAGTGAACAGTGAATTCTTTTGGAGCAGATGATTGAATCTTCTAACGAAAAGTGAGCTGAGAAAAAGAACTGCCTTAAGTGATTGAAAACCAGCCCAATGTGCCCCCGCCATGTGCGCGCACACATGTACACACACACACACACACACACACGTACGTACATACACACACACACACACAAGCACATCAATAACTTCACCTTCTATTACTAACAACCAGTTAGAAAACAAATACAAGTGATAAAATGACCACAGTAAAATAATAAAAATTACTATGAAACATATAGCAATATATCTAAAAGAAATGTGTAAGTCCTACATGAACAAAAAATGCACAGAACTTGTCTTAGGTATATAAACCAGGAATTAAATACACAAAGTTATTGAGCTTATGATGGAAGACTCAACACTGTCAAATTTCAGCCAACTTAATATATTTTATGCAATTCAAACCAAAATCAGATGCATAATTTCAATCTTAAAACATAGAATTAAAACAAGCAACTGAGAAAATAAATTTTTTTTAATTTTTAGTGCCAATACTGGGTCTTGAATTCAGGGCCTGGGAACTATCCCTTAGTTTTTTTTCTTTCAAGGCTGGTACTCTACCATTTGAGACACAGCTACAACTCTGGCTTTTTGCTGATTAATTACAGAAAAGAGTCATTTGGATTTTCCTACCTAGGTTGGTTTTGAACCATGATCCTCAGATCTCAGTGTCCTGAATAGTTAAAAGTGTGTCCAGACGCTGGTGGCTCATGCCTGAAATCCTAGCTACTAAGGAGGCTAAGATCTGAGGATCACAGTTTAAAGCCAGCTAGGGCCATGAGACTCTTACCTCCAATAAACCACCAGAAAACTGTGGTAGAGCACTCGCCTTGAGCTAAAGAGCTGAGGGACTGAGGGACAGAGCCCAGGCCCAGAGTTCAAGCCCCACGACCAACCAAAAAAAGAAAAAAAAAATGAATATATTAACAGATGTTAATATATTTATTTATTTTTACTTAAAAGTAAAAATCCTCAAAGCAATATAAACTCAAAATACAAAACCTGAAAACTAGGAAAGTTACTATGTTTCCATTAGAAAAAACAAAAAAAAAACAAAGAATGTCACTAAGGAAGTTCCCCGCCCTGCCCCAGCAATAACAGGAAGCTAGGCCACTGGTATATATGCATGGACCAACACCAAAGGTACAATTTCCTCCTCAAAATGAGAGTCCTTTTACACTCCTCATTGTTCAGAGTAAGATACAAATTCAGACTGGTCAAAACTAAACTATGAGGTCAAAAAAGGGTGACACAAAAATGGAAAAAAGATGAACAAATACAGTCATGGTATTCAATATATGCTATGTAAAAATTGGGCTGGGAAGGTGGCTCAGTGGTAGAGCGCTTGCCTTGCATGCATGAGGCCCCGAGTTCTATTCCTCAGCACCACATAAGCAGAAAAAAAAAGCCGGAAGTGGTGCTGTGGCTCAATAGTAGAGTGCTAGCCTTTCGCTGAGGAGCTGAGGGGCAGCGCCCAGGCCCAGAGTTCAGGCCCCACAACCGACAAAAAAAAAAAAATTGAAATATGTGGCCAGGCGCCAGTGGCTCATGCCTGTAATCCTAGCTACTCAGGATATCTGAGGATCAAGGTTCAAAGCCAGCCCAGGCAGGAAAATCTGTGAGACCTTTATCTCCAATAAACCACTCAGAAAACAGTAAGTGGTGCTGTGGCTCAAGTGGTAGAGTGGTAGCCTTGAGCTCAAGAGCTGAGGGACAGTGCCCAGGCCAGAGTTCAAACCCCACCACTGACCAAAAAAAAAAAAAAAAAATGAAGTATGCAATGTGAGGGCAAGACAAGAGGAGAAAACTGGGGGAACGGGAGGAAGAAGTGACTTCTGTCCAAGAATTATACTTATTACCTGATTTATGAAACTGTAACAACACCTTAATAATAATAAAATTATATTTAAAAACCCACATGGTCAATCCAAGGAGGTAGGAATTATAGGGGTTGTAACTGTCCATTTATAAAGCTCTACAATGTATGAGTTTTACATAGTGAATATGCATATAATGACAAGTATCGGCAGGACTTAGGTGGTAAGAGTCCTTGCCCTGCAAACATGAGGCAGAGCACAATCCCTAAAATTCCCCCCCCCCAAAAAGAAGATATCTTATTAAATCATGTCAAGCATTTCATAGTCTCTTAATGAGATACTTCAAAGGCATATTACCTCTTGGTCCAAATCATAATCTTCATCTGAGTTGAGTGCAACCTTTACAGTAATATAATCCCCATTTTTCACAGCATCCCTCAACAAATCTAAAAGGAAAGGAAAAAGTGATTGGGCTTTATATATCTAGATTGGTGAAAGTGAAATGAATTAATTCCAAAACCACTCACTATTTGGAATTACATTCACTGTGGTAAAAGTCTCATCTTCCCCATCAAGGTGCTTTTGAAAATCTTCTAGTTTCATCCACTCCAGCTGCAGATCCATGCCCAAACTTAAGATCTGGTGCCTACCATCTGGGAAAAAAAGGGCTTTATTAACACACTTTCATGTGGTCTATTGGCAAAACCAATATGCTGCTTATAAACTTAGACCTTGGGCTGTAGTGGGGTTGAACTCAGAGCTTCACACTTGCTATGCAGGCACTGCACTTGAACCATTGCCTGCCAGTCCCTTCTAGTATTGGGTTATCATCAAGATAGGATCTTGCTCTATGCGTAGACTAGCACTGACTGTGATCCTCTATCTAGAGTGCTTCCCTTTGCTGTTTGGATGACAGACATATCACTGTGCCCAGTCACCGTGCATCCCCTTGTAACTTGGAATAACAGGAACATACCAATGTGTGTCTCCCACAGCTTAAGATGAACAGGTATATGCTACCAGCCATGGATCAAGTGGAATCTCATGGACTTTCCTGCCTGGGCTTGCTTCAAATGGTGATCCACAGATCTTAGCCTCTTGACTTAGCTAAGATTACAGGTGTGAGCCACTGGTGCCTAGCTTTAGCAGTAATTTCATGTACATTTTTTTGTGTGTTCTGATTTCAAATTTTAATACAAAGCAACAGTATCAAGAAATGCTATGCAGACATAAGGATGCACATGGACATCAGTGCAATACAATGGAGAGTCCAGAAATAAGTCTCTGTGTTCATGGTCAAATGGTATTCAACAAAGATGTCAAAAATACGTTGATAGGGAAAGAATAACAGGTTTTCAACAAATGGTATAAAGAAAGCTGGGTATCTATATGCAAAAGAATAAATAAAGATTCATACCATACATTGCACACAAATGTGAACTCAAAATAGTCTAAAGACACTGGCCCGGGTGGCTCACGCCTGTAATCCTAGCTACTCAGGAGGCAATTTCATGTACATTTAACACACACTATTACATAACTCTTTTTTTTTGGGGGGGGGTAGCACTAGGGCATGGACTAAAGGGTCAAGACTGTTACTCTACCACTTCAGCCTTACCTCCACTTCTGGCCTTTGCTGGTTAACTGGAGCTAAGTCTTTTGTGCCCAGGCTGGCTTTGAACTGTAGTATTAAGATCTCAGCCTAATCTTTAGAAGCACAGGTTTGTGTGTGTGTGCGCGCTGGTTCTAGGCTTGTAACTCAGGGACTGGGCACTGTCTCTGAGCTTTTGTGCTCAAGATTAGTGTGCTACCATTTTGACCAACAGCTCCATTTCCACATCTCCATTTTGTTAGTCTCATGGACCTTGCTTTCTGAGCTGGCTTTGAACCATGATCCTCATATCTTAGCCTCCTGAGTAGTTAGGATTACAGGCATCAGCCACTGGTCCAGCAAGCACAGACTCTAAGTGTTCACTAGCTGAATGGTTACTGTGTATAATCAGATGGACTCTATCCTGGAATTATGGCCTAACCTTATTGTTTAAGAGTAATGTCTAGGGGCTGGGAAGGTGGCTCAGTGGTAGAGCACATGCCTTGCATGCCTGAGGCCCTGGGTTCAATTCCTCAGCACCACATAAGCAAAAAGAAAAAAGCCGGAAGTGGCGCTGTGGCTCAAGTGGTAGAGC